TCTTTTAATCAATATTTTGTGGTTCTTGTTATTTCTCTCACTTCTGCACAAACCCCAACCACACAGTTTTTACTTTATTATTCTCCGTATCGGTCAAACTTGACAAAGTTTTAAGGGACGGAGGTAGTAATAACAATATTATATATATTTTTAAAGCATTAAGGCTCTGTTTGCAACCCCTTAATTTAAGTGATTGTGGTTTTTTTCTTAAAAAAGCACTTATTTTACCAAACACTACCAACTTTTACTTTCTCGGTTTTCGTGTAAAATCTACTTTTTACTTTTTCTATTACACAAAAAGCACTTATTTTACCAAACACTACCAACGTTTACTACTAATCACTTTTTTTTAAAAAGTGCTTTTATTTAAGCAATATGGGCGGAATAATCGTTCTTCTATCATTATCAGTTTATCACACATTCCGCTTAGGGGGTGTTTGGCAATTGGCTGTTGGCTGATAGCAGTTTCTGTTAGCTGATAGACGACATCTGATTTAATTGGCTGTTTTAGTCAGCTGATACTCTGATAGTATTAGCAGTTTGTAAAATAGTGTTTGGTTAAATGGCTGTTTAAAGCCAGCTGATAATTTATAAAATGACCTTTAAGGACATAATTTTTTTTGTTGGTTCCATAGCATATTGCACTTTTTTTTAATATGATACTACGTACAAAATTACAAATACTATAAATATTTAAATTATGGTTTTACCTAGTATTGTCATTCATGTTATTATTATGCACGATCACTTAGACCATTATTATTTACTACTACGGTACGTGTTAAAAAATAAAAATTATAATTGCAAATAACAATTCTTTTAAAATTTTCACGTTTTTCTAAATTTATTAATAAATTGTCATAATTTAAGTTATGTTAAGAATTGTTGTCTAGCAAAAAAGAATAATATTTAACTTCAATCTGCTAATAGCCTAGTACGTACGTAAGAAAATCGATGTGCAAGATTAGGTAACTAATATTAGCTTTGTTTAGGGGAGAAAACTAAATGGGTAGAAATCTACGTAGTATTTTATTTTAGGGGAGAAAACTAAATGGGTAGATTAGGAATATTGGGGAAAGGCCAAACCTAAAAGCTATGTTTCTTAGCTTTTTCAATTTTAGTTGTTTGGGACCAAAAGCCAAATGAAAAGGCCATTTAACCAAACACCTTATTAGCTGAAAATAATGGTTTTTGTTAAATGAGCATGAATGAACTTTTAATTGGCACTAGACATATTCTTTTGAGTATTAGGAGTCTATTATTGAGCATAGTAATCTCTGCTTCTTATCTTCTAATTCACTTTCTTTTTTTCTTTTTATACATACAAACTTATTAAATTATATCTACAATCAATTCCTTTGAAGTTCAATATGTGAATCTAATGTATAAGATACTTTTGAAATAAACATTGATATGACCAGGGGCGGAGCTAGAGGGGTGGCCAACCGGGCCACGGCCCGCCCCAAATTTGAAAATTCTTTGTATTTTTTAGTCTAAAATTTATGTGAAAACAATTATCTGAAAAATTCTTTGTACCGGCCCAGCCCGACCTTCAATCCTAGCTACGCCACTGGATATGACATTTAAAAATGAGCATAACATCAATACCGATTGAGCATATGTAGCTTACAAAATAAGAGAATTAATATGAAAATAATCAACTTTGTTAGTTGATCATCAAGACATTTTTTCATGAGCATTAAACATCCTCTATTGAATATTAGAAACGTGCAATTGAGTACCGATTGAGCATTCGTAAATTATAAAATGAGCATTAGTGTGAAAATCATAAGCTTTTTTAGTTGAGTGAGCATCAAGACATTTTCATCGAGTATCAAGCCTCCTCTATTGAGTATTAAAAACATGCAATCGAGTATCATGGTTCATTCTCTCGTATCTATAATTTAAAAAGTGAGAAATATAATAACTTTAAATTAAAAATAATTCATAGTATTCTGTTCTTCAATTACAAAAAAATATTGTGTTGTTTTTATGATATTTACTCATACACATTTATTTTACACTATACTCATTGTAGTATAATACAAAACTCATGTTAGTAATTAACACATACGTAGTAATACTTAATGAAATTAGAAATATTCCTCTTAAAATTAAAAATAGAAGAACAAAACATTGATGCCTAAAATCTTTTATAATGAAGAAAATTGAGATTATACTGAATAATAATTGAATAAAAATTAAAGCATGTTTAAGAAAAAATAAACGAAAAGAAAGATCTAAAAACGGAAAACAACAAAAATAAAGAAAATTGAATCGCAAAATAAAGTGAAAAGCAAGATACGAACGTGAAAACTGAAAAGCAACGAAAAGAAAAGAGAGAGAGAAGGAGAAGAGCCGTAGCTGCCATCAGCGAAAAACGAAGTGCAGCTTAGGAAAAGAAAAGCAACAACGGCCATTAACCTACCTAATCTTTGGATTGACAAATGAGTTTATGATTCATCTAGATATGAGAAGTACATCACTCCACACATGAAGCACGTATTGATCTCAAATCGGATGACTATTAGACTACTCTATATGTCGATAATCCCATAGACACATGAATAGAACTTATTAAATGATTTCTCGATTGGTATGCATGCCAATATTATCTAAAATACCTGTGTGGACATCATGAATTACAAGAACTCATAGTTGTGAGATCAACTATACTTTCTAAAAATATGATTCAGTGCACATACCAATCTTATCGTATATCATCAATATCCCTTTCTTGATGATCATTGATTGGAGCTATTTTAGGACCTTATTTTATACTCCCTCCGTCCCTAATAACTTTGCCAAGTTTGATCGGCACGGGGATTAATAAAGTAAAAACTGTGTGGTTGAGGTTTGTGCATAGGAGAGAGAATTAAATGGAACCACAAATTCTTTACTTAAATGGGAAAGTGACAAACTTAATGGGACATCTAAAAAAGGAAAGTTGGCAAAATTATAAGGGACGGAGGGAGTACTACCTCCGTAACGTAAATATCTTCCCACTTTCCTTTTTTGGATGTAACACTAATATCTTCACATTTCTAAATCTTCCCATCATACCCTCAATAATTTTAAAAATAATACACTATTACACCTACTTTTTTTGGATTTATCCTTCATTCCATCACATTATTTCACTATCTTCACATCATACCCCTAATAATACATATCTCCTTTCACTATTCTTAATCTACCTACTTTTCAAATGGGAACATCCCAATGTTACGGAGGTAGTATCATTTAAGCTCTCACTTACTTAGTGACAACATAAGTCCAATGGAACACAATTATGAATGAAACATTGAGAATCGAAATGCTTAATCATTAATGTGTAATACCGTATATATTAAATATATAAAATTAAATGTGATCAAGTACATATACCTATACGAAAATGATTGTTGCTAGGACATATATATATTAACCGGAACAAGTTTCAAATTTTCAATGTTGTAAAAGTTTATTTCAACACTTTGATGCAAAACTCGCATCTTGAAAAGAAAAGAATTTATCTCTTGGAGGGCGGTTTTTTATAAGTTTTCAAGTTTTCCAAGTTCAATACCCAATCATATTTTAGCCACATATGCTCTGCCTAACAAAGTTATTACTACCTTAGAAAGGTACAAGACTTATTTTCTTTGGGGATCTAATGATGATAGACATAAGGTCAGGTCCATTGGGGAAGGTGGTCAAAGTTATGTTTTCCTATTAATAAAGGGGTCTGGGAATTAGATCCTTAATTGATGTTGAAAGGGCCAATACTTTGAAGTTATGGTGGAAATTGAAGACTCATACTTCTTATTGTGAGATTTTTTCTAAGCTAGGTATCCTAGAGGAATTAACATACGACCTAAAATTGAAGACTCACCAATTTGGAGAAGAATTTGTGCAATTAATGACACTGCTACAGATCTTTGCTCTATTAGCTCCTCAAGTTCATATCCATTCCACCATGGGATTCACGAACTTTTCTCATTATCTTTTGCATACAATGAGATCAGAGAGGTTAAATCAATCATTTTCACATTCGAACACATTTGGAATAAACATCGAACATGTGCAAAGATCTGGAGTGTGATAAAGTAGGAGGATCAATTTGATAATTTTTCTCAAGTAGAAAATATTCATAAGATGTACTACCCCGTCCCTCTATGTTTGGAACAAAGGAGTGTGACACAACTTTTAAGAAAAAATGAATTGTGTGATTGATATTGATTTGATAAAGTGTGAATAAAGTAAGAATGAATTGTAAGCACACATATATTACTAAATATGGTATGAGATAAACTTAATGAGACGAACAGAAAAGATAAAACAGGACAAAGTTAGGGGGATGGAGGGAGTATAAAATGTGTACTAATAACATTTTGGGAAAATCTCACTTTTAGTCTCTGAAATAGTCACGAAAATGAAATGTCGGACCCGCATTTTTTATATTGTAAATGTCACCCCTCAATTGTCCAAATTGTTGTAAATGTGATCTTTTAAGGATTAAAATAATGAAATGTACTCCCGCCCACTTTGTATATTTCACCCCTCAAAAGACTATATTTACAACATTTAAGACAATTGAAGAGCGACATTTACAAACATTAGAATATGGATCTGACATTTCATTTTCATAACTATTTCGAAACTAAAAATGCTATTTTCCCTAACATTTTTATACGTAGTACTCCCTCCGTCCCCCTAAGTTTGGGACGGAGGGGTGTGATGTGGTTTTTAAGAAAAAGTGGAATTGTGTGGTTGGTATTGAATTGATAAAGTGTAAATAAAGTAAGAGTGAATTCTAACCACTCAAATGTTACCAAATATGGTATGAGACAAACTTAGTGGGACGGATGAAAAAGGTAAAACGGGACAAACTTAGGGGGACGGAGGGAGTACGTAATAGTTCTGTTTTATGGACACGTGGAGTTAGCTTACAGGCATAAGGCATTTCTGCCCGACAATATTATACTCGTATAATAATATACACGCAGTAAATGTTTGTTTAGAGTTTTTGACAGTGGCATTTCAATCATCCAGCAATGCCGTTCAAACCCTAGAAGCCAATCGACGTAACAAGGCGTGGGCAATCCAAACAAGTCCCGTAAGGGAGTGTGGAGGGGGCGGAGCGCGAATCTCGTTTTCACTGTCCCTTTGCTCCGGGTCAGCTCTCTGCAGCTTACTGTAAGCTTTCATTGCCGTCTTTCTTCGTATTCCGGAACTCAATCCCACGCAAAATGCTAGGCCTTTCTGTTTTGTCTTTCGTCATTCTTATGCAATCTTTTCCGTTGCTTCTACGGTTTTAATTTTCGCAAATAGAAATCGAATGGAAATATGAAAACAAAGATGGGGTCAAAAGCATTTAGTGCTTGTATACTGGTTAACCTCCTTGAGCATTATGCTCATTACCACGTGCTGCCTCTTTAAAGGTGTGAACCGTTTGAAAAAAGGGCAATTTTCTTTTCTGCTAGTCCGTGATTGAATCCATCTTTGTTAGTTATTTAGCTTGTGATGAATAAAGGTAGACATCTGGATCTTTAATCTGCTGACATGTCTATTAAGTTGCATTATTCCCTTAAGATACTTTCTCAAGAAAACTTAACTTGCCGTAGTTGAAAGCATTTTTTATAATATCTTTGAATTTGGTGCTCTTCATGACCTTCCACCTTTTTGTGTCCCTTTTAGCTGGGGACTTATTAGATGATATATTCACGCAAAATAAAATATGGATGTTAATGTGTAAGAGTCATGTTTGGTCAATATGAACAATGTACTTTTTTGGCAACGTACAACATTACAACTATTAAAAGTCGGGGATCCTGCATACTTGTATAATTTTCATTTTATTTTGTTGATTTAACTGAACCTGTCACTAGTTACTTCGTTGTAACTCGTTTAGAAGTAAATGAAAAATTAGATTCTTTTGATTAAATTGGACTTTTTGTTTTTTCTGGAGACAAGGCTCTGAAAGCAGACTCTCATTTACAAGGACAGGGATCATTTGTCTCTTTGTTTCCTTAAAGAATTAAGATGTTCTAAAAGTTGTTTGTGCAGCAGTAGAAGCAAGCTTAATGGATGCTTAGGGGTCATGTTTATCTGTATATTCACCATTTCTATGTAACACACATACATATAAAGAATGGTTTGTTTTGTATTCTTAACTCTCTTGACATATATGCCCTTGTTGAAGGGGTTTATTAACTCAATCAGAATTAACACTGTAGTTGTTTTGCGCAGGTACACATTGATTACTGAAATGAATACGTGTTGATTGAGTTCTGTTTTTATCTGCTTTTTGTGGGTGGAAAATGGAGTGCAACAGAGAAGAAGCAATCAGGGCCAAGGAAATTGCAGAGAAGAAGATGGAAGGTAAAGATTTTAGTGGCGCTCTCAAGATTGCATCCAAAGCTAATAAGCTCTATCCCGAGCTAGATAACATTGAACAGATGATTCTAGTCTGCGAGGTGCATTGTTCCTCAGAAAACAAGATATGTGGGAATGAGAATGATTGGTATAGTATTCTCAAGGTGGACCCCACATCCAATGGAGAAATTGTAAAGAAACAGTACCGTAAGTTTGCACTCTTACTTCATCCTGACAAGAACAAGTTCCCAGGTGCCACAGATGCCTTTAAGTTGATTGGTGAAGCCCAAAAGGTGCTATTGGATCATGAAAAACGTTCCCTTTATGATCAGAAACGTTTGGGTATTGGAAAATCACACTCAAGGGCAAAATACAGTTCGGTTTTCACCCCGCAGCAGCAGCAGCAACAGCCAACATTTTGGACTGTCTGTTCATTTTGTTCGGTTAAATATCAGTATTATGTGGAAATGAAAGGAAAACTCTTGTGGTGTCAACAATGTAAGACACAGTTTGTTGCGTCTGAGATAAACACTCCAGGTCAGAAACAAAATGACAAAAATACACCCCAATGTCACGTCAAGATCAATCCTCAAACTGTTCCTGTGGACCTTTCTGCAAAGGGCAGGAACGAAAGTAAAGTAAGCGCGGAATCTAAGAAGGAAGAAATCACTAGGAAATCAACCCGGTCAAGGCAGCGTGATTCTTCTGAAAATTTCAACCCTTCAAAAAAGTCCAGAGCTGATGTAAGTTCTAAAGAAAGCTTATTCATCGAGTACCCTTGCCCGGATTTGAATGATTTTGACAAAACCAGAAGAGTAGAGTGCTTCAAGGCTGGACAAATATGGGCTTTTTATGATGTGTTGGATGCCATGCCTAGGTTCTATGGTGTGATAAACAAGATTTTCTTGCCTGGATTTAAGTTGCAAATTAGCTGGTTAGAACCGGATCCTGATGATAAAGATGAATTGAAATGGGCAATTGAGGGTTTACCAGTTTCTTGTGGTAAATTCAGATTAGGAAGTTCTGAAACCATCAAACATCTTCCTATGCTGTCTCACATGGTTTGCTGTGAAGAAGAAAAGACTAAAAAAGAATCTTTCTACAACATATATCCTAAAAAGGGTGAAACTTGGGCAATCTTTAAAGACTGGGATATCAACTGGCACTCTCATACTGAAATCAAGACGAAGTTTGAGTATGAATTTGTTGAGGTCTTATCAGATTGCTGTAAGTCTAGTGGCGGTGTGGATGTTGCTCCTTTGGTTAAGGTGAAGGGGTATAGGTCCCTTTTTACCCGCAAGGATGAGAAGAGTAGGGTTTGGATTTCCTTGAAAGAGGTGTTTAGATTCTCCCACAAGGTTTCTAGTTTCAAGATGAAAGGAACAGAAGGGGAAGGAATTCCTAATGGGTCTTTTGAACTCGACCCTGGTTCCTTGCCAGTTAGCAGCATGATTAATGGACAGGTCAAGGGAATCTCGTAAATTAAAATGAAAAACTGGAGTGATGAACCCACCTTTTCTAGTTTGAAACCAGAACAAGGCTACTTAGCTGTCCGATTACGTATTGTTTTGCAGGAAAGTTGTTCTAGTACTAGTAACAGTTGAAAACTGGGGAGCATTATTGATTTTAACTTCATGTACAAAGAGCATTGAAAGGTGGCTATTTTTCTTTTGCATATGTCGATTTCTAGTATATAAACTAGACTTTTCTTTTTGGAGTTAAAGAATTGCTTGATGTAATATACCAATTATTAGGTCATGCTCTTATAAAGATTGGATGCCTACCCATTATAAGACAAGATTGAAAATATTTTGAATCCAACTTTGAAAACAATTTCTTTAAAAAAAACACTCTGAAAACATTTAGGCTCTGTTTGCAACCACTTGTGTTTAAATAAAAGTACTTTTTGGGAAAAAGTGATTAGTAGTAAAAGTTGGTCGTGTTTGGTAAAATAAGTGTTTTTTGTGTAATAGAAAAAGTAAAAAGTAGATTCTACACGAAAACCGAGAAAGTAAAAGTTGGTATTGTTTGGTAAAATAAGTGTTTTTTTCTTAAAAAAAAAGCCAAAAGCACTTAAAATAATAGTTTGCAAACAAGCCCTTAATAAAGCACATGAAAAAATAAAAGTTACTCACTTAAAAAATACGCATATTATATGCGGCATATATAGTCCTTGAGAATTACATCAGTGTTTCAATTATTGAATAATAACAAAAATAATTAAATAACAAAGATACGGTTTATTTGAGGAATACCAAATACGACAAGTAAAATGAATCGTGGAATAAAGTGTTGTTAACTAAATAACTATTGTGCATTTTGAAATTTTCTAACATGAAAAATAAATAAATGATTAATCCTTGACTTGAAAGATGAAATGTAATAATAAGACTTGAATAATTGAAAACTTGACAATTTAAGATCTAAAATTCCATAGATTTGTTTTATTTAATGTTTTAATAATTCTATGGCTAATTTTTTATGTTTTTCATCACCAAAGTTTATTAGTTTAATAAAATACATAATATTTTTTTTGTAAGAATAAAATAAAGTTCATGACAATTTAGGTACAATTTTTAATCATTCAAGCCCTATATTAACACATTTCATCTTTCAACTATCAGATTGATAACTCATCTATATTTCAAGTACTGTACTTATAAATTTCTTTGTGTTTTTAGTGACAAACAAAATCATAACAAAATAGATTATATCTTTTTAGGGAAAAGGGGCAAATAAGGCCACGTACTAACAAAAAAAGGTCAAATAAGGTCTTATTTAGGAGGCTCTGCCCCGCCGTCGCCATTTGGGGTGGTTCCCGGTGGATTTTTTTGATAAAATTTTTTGAGCATCTTATTCATTAAGTCTAGATTACTCATACCAAATTCCAGCTAACAATTCAATCGGGAAGGCGTTCAAATGAATTCTTGAAGATAACTGCGAAGTTAAAAGCACAGTTATCTTCAAGAATTCATTTGAACGTCTTCCCGATTGAATTGTTAGCTGAAATTTGGTATGAGTAAACTAGACTTAATGAATAAGATGCTCAAAAAATTCCACCAGGAACCATCTCAAATGGCGATGGCCGGACAAAGCCTCCTAAATAAGGTCTTATTTGACCTTTTTTTATTAGTACGTGGCCTTATTTGCCCCTTCTCTCATCTTTTTAAAATAACTCATCTATATTTTAAGTACTGTATTTATAAATTTCTTTGTGTTTTTAGTGACAAACAAAATCATAACAAAATAGATTATATCTTTTTAAAATAATACTACGCACTTACTCAATCATCCTAATCTCAACCATTTCTTTAGGGTGGACATAGACCTGTCAATGGGTCGGGTCCGGGTCGGAACGTAGTGTTCCAGACCCGGACCCGCTAAGTAAATAAAGGACCCGGACCCGACCCGTTTACCCGGCGGGTCTAAAAATTTGGACCCGGACCCGGACCCGGACCCAACGGGTCTCGGAACCGGGTCGGGTAGACCCGCCAAGTATCATATGCACAACATTATATAACTTTTTTTTGACAGAACATTATATAATTTTTTAAAAATAGTAAAACATGTATATGAAATGTAAATCAAAGTGCACAAATTTAAAAGCAAAATATATCTTCACTTTTCAAAAAAAAAAGCAAGGTTTATCATAGAAAATTAGTACTTTTATTCAATAAAATATCGGTTCTTGTAGATGCGTACAATTCCGCACTTTGTGTCTCTTTCTCTCCCACAGAAAGCTCGTATATTAGATTAGAAATTAGGTCACAAAAAGTTATTTTGGACTAAAAGCATATTATATACTACGTACTATTATATTATCACTTATACATTAGGTATGTATTAATTTGTTTCTTTTTAATCAAAGAATTAAAACTAATCACTTTATATATATTAGTTTGTATTTTTATTTGAAGTATTATAACTAATCTCTTTATGTATTAGTGTGTGTATAAATACTAATAAGAAATTTTAAACGGGTCCGGGTCCTTAACGGGTCGGAATCATAAGTACCATACCCGACCCGTTTATTAAAAGTACTAACGGGTCCGGGTTCGGGTCCGGGTAAACGGAATAAAATAAGGACCCATACCCGTTAAAAACAACCGGGTCCGGGTCGGGTTCGGGTCTAGACCCGACCCATTGACAGGCCTAGGTGGACACAATTCGAGACGTAATTAGCGATAGTCAATTTTTTCTACTCACAAACTAAGCTGGCCCATGACTCCAGAACACAAATCACCAAGTATTTCCTTACCTGGTTCGGGTTCCAACAATATTTATCCTTGTGCTCTTTGAACTAAACAATGTAGGCATATGCATTAAGGATTTTAATGGAACTTAAAATTCTGTTAGAATTTAAGTGTTTGCAATTTGAATTTCTGTAGAATCTATGAAAATAATGGTGTTCTAAAACATTCCATACTTTTTTATTACTCCGTATTACTTATTTGGATGGATTTCAATAGATTTTGATGTATTTCTACGTACAAATTCCACCACCTTAGTATATTTGCGGTTTATGTAGCAAGAAATAAGATGTTTGACGGGGAGCGTTGACTCAGGGACATCACAAAATAGGATTGCTGGAAATCTTATTTAATGCACAAAGCGTATACATCAATTCCAGATTTTATCCAATAAGAACGGATAAAGTTGAAACCCCCAAAATGTTACCACAAAAAATGCTTCCTGGATAATTCCTTCACTAAACTCCCTCAACACTCACAGGATAATACTCTCTAGCTACGCTGTCCCATGGTTAGATCTGAGAGGGGGCACAACATGCATTTACAAGTAACAATCATCTTTGGGGCTCATACTGGTTCAGAGCTTTGGGACACTTGAACTCTCCAATTGAAATATTGTATGTACAAAAAGTTGAGACAAACAACGCCTCCAAACCCCACAACAGATGAAATCATCACTGAGTAAGCGGCCGGAAAATGGAGCTGCCAAAAAATGACATTTTCTTCCTTCAGCTAGGGGAGAATGAGAAATCCAATAAAAAAATAAGACGCTCAAAGGTTAAGAAAACTAAAATGTCACCGTAGTATAGAATAGGTTTAGGAGCAAAGCCACCAGTGCAAATTCTAAAGCAGTGTATGTCCATATGTACTCTTTAATTGCTGCATTGAAAGAGAACATTTCATTAACAAAATATCTTTCTAATTTCAAAAGTTAACATAAGAAAACTAGTGCCTGTTTGGCATCACACTTTTCATAGGGAACACCAACTTATTTGAGCTGTGACTAAATTAGTGATAATGAAAGTAGTGCAAGTGTTACTTTATTTTACAAAATGAATGAAAATGAAACTCATAACACCTCGTTTTTGTATTATTTCTAATGAGCTTATTGAGAATGGAATTCTAAACACGTTTCAACCAATTCGACCATTTTAGCCACAATCTCAACAAATTCGTCATTATAGCCATTTTAGTCAAGTTTAGCCTTATGAAAATAGCTCAAAAACATTTAGAGCACGTTTGGTAAGACATAAAATAATTGAAGTGGCTACATAGCTCGTATCTACTGAATTTTCTGACATTGTGGTGGAATTGGCTGGTTCTGCTCAATCGTCTAAAAATATTCTAGATACATCTTAATTAATTTAAACAAATAGGCTTGAGTTATTTAGTGAAGGCTCTCACCTCATCTTACTTTATTTTCACTTTTACACATACCTAGCATGACTGCAAAAACAGATCCCAAAATGCCCAATGCAAATGCGAATGGCGCAGCAATCACTAGTGCTCCAGTTTTCATATCACGGATCTACAAACAAAAAGTCAATAATATACGCACAATATTAATTGCTCTCATGGGAACATATGCATGACCATGTTTAACATTCTTGATAGATCATCCCTCCTTTCTAGTCTCAAGTAGGAAGCAGGCTTCACAAGATGGCAAACATGCTCCCCATTTGGTTGGTTTAGTTTCATTATATTTAGTTGTAATGCAATAGGGCAAAAAAATTCATTCAGAGGAGCATGGAAGTGAGAATAATCTATTCATTTCCAATGTCTTAAAATTAATACAAACTTTTCTAACACTAGAAATTTGACTTCGTACAACTAATTACTTCAAATATTAGAAAAGACGACCGCTTGAGGAATTAGACAAAAGATGAGAGTAACACATTGAAAATAAGATGCGGGAGTCTTGATTGCGGTGGTTTGGTCATGTGCATAGAAGACCGAATGATGCACATGTTAAACGAGTTGACAGGTGTGGAGAACATGCAAGGAGCATAGGGAGGAAAGGCAAAACAGAAGTGAATTCGTGGAGTATATACTTCTTCTTGGGTTGGATGAGAGTATAGCATTGGAGAGAGCAAAGTGAAGGACATGTGGAGGATTAATCTCTTACTTTCTTTATCTTTCCCATGTTATTTATCATTTTATCCTTTTTATTATATATATATATATATATATACAGGATTATTCCTGTCCGGAATTTCCGGACAGGAGCCCCGTCCGGAATTTCCGGATAGGAGCCCCGTCCGGCCTCCTCCATTTGGGGGCCTTGCCGGTGGTATTTTTTGATCAAATTTTTTTTGTACGTTCCTCATCAAGTCTAGTTCATCCATACCAAATTTCAGCAAAAAGTTCAATCGGAAAGGTCGTCAAATGATTTTTTCAAGTTAAATGGTCCGGAAAATACATATTCCGGACCAGTTAACTTTCAAAAATCATTTGACGACCTTCACGATTGAATTTTTTGCTGAAATTTGGTATGGATGAACTAGACTTGATGAGGAACATACACAAAAAATTTGAGCAAAAAATACCACCGGGAAGGCCCCCAAAAGGAGG